AACTGGAGGTGGTGTTCGAATACCCCTTGCTTATATGTGTAAGGGGTTGCGGTGCATATACTTTGCTTTTCAAAAATAGGCAAAGACAAGACCAGCCGAACCACGAGGCATGTCATTTATATAGATGAGAAGCATACAGCGTCATGTGAAATTCACCTAGAGTTGCAAATGTCACTGTCTTGGAAATAATGTTGAGGCCCACAATAAGTAACCGGACGGTTATGTTTACAAGCAAACAGAGTGGTTAAGTCGTCGCATTTCACTGCAGTCAGTGAGTTATAGCATAATATTTTTCTGTGATTTTGCTTCTGGGTTTTATTTAGCGAAGAAATATTTCTTTTGACTGACTTCATTTTTAAGCTATACAGTCACATTTACATTATGGAAAAGGCATGAAGTGGCATTAAAAATTGTTCAGTCAATATGCACACGATAAAAATAAAGAACGTTAACATGAGTTTTAAAGGAGCTGAGTCGAAGTAGATGAATTACAAAATTCCACATGATTGATTACCGAACAAAGAAAATTCTTTTCGATAACTTCATCATCAAGTTCTAGAGTTATATATCCATAATAATGAAAGAATGATTCTTATTGAGAACATTAATATTTTTTTACAGTAAAATCGAATCATTCAGATCTGAATTTATAAAGGCTATTTGCAATTAAATTGTTAATATGTTGAAATATAAATAATTGCACTACTAAATTGAAAACCACTATAACAAAGTAAATGATTATGAATGACAACGAATATGTAGCAATGAATTCTCATGAATCATGTTCATACTGAATTGTATTCATAATGACTATAAACTTAAGATGGATGAATGATCATGTCAAGGACAAGGAGAGAGAAAGAAAAAATTTTTTGAGGTAGAAGGTTATGTGCGTTGTGTGTGCCAGTGTGTAAGAACTAGTAATGTCTTCGACTTCATTTCTAAAATATCCGAGACTAATGTGAGGGATAAACGTATGATAATAATGGATGTATCATCACTATTCACGAATATACCACTTAGTGAAACGGTAGATTCCATTTGTCAAGAAATCACCGAAAGGCAATTGGACATAAGAATTCCCTTGTGTAGCCTCAAAGAAGTACTCTTTAAATGCATAATGAATGTGCACTTTGTCTTCCATATTTCATACTACTGACAAGTAGATGGAATAGCTATGAGGTTACCATTAGGCCTAATATTAGCTGACTTCTTCCTCGCAAAACTTGAAAACTGGAAATTGAAAGACATCATCAAGGATTCTGATATGTATTACCGTTATGTCAGTGATACATATATCTTAATTGATGGGGACGTAAACATAGACGAACTGTTAATGAAATTCAAAAACACCCACCCTTCGCTTACTTTTACTTGTGAAGAGGTGTAGGATAGTAAACTACATTTTCTGAATGTCTTGCTAAGTAGGCGAGCAGATGGGTCACTTTGGAGAAGCGTGTATAGAAAAAGCACGTTCATAGAGCAGTACACACACTTCCTTAGTTACATGCTCACTAAATGTAAAAGAAATGTTGTTAAGTGTCTTACAAGCAGAGCAATAAAGATATGTATGGATGACCACTTACAAAAGGAATTCGAAAATATTCATGATTCCTTCATGGAAATGGGCTATCCGAGTAGTTTCATAAAGAGACATATGAAAACATCAGAGATAAAACCTAAGACGACGAATGCAATTAAAAAACCTCTATATATTAAGTTACAATTTAATGGTGGCTTGTTGAGTGAGATTTTATTCGAGAGACTTTCCAGGAGTATACGAAGAACGTTTTGCGCAGTAAACCTATGTTTGTCATCCTCTAGCCAACGAACCATTGGGACACAAACGAAGGATAAGCTAGATAGTTTTGCCACATCTATTTGCATTTATCAATTCAACTGCACCTGCGGTGACAGCTTTGTTGGGTGTACTACTAAACAGCTTCGCCAATGTGTTAGTGAACACCTCCCATCGTGGTTTGGTAAAGGACAGACAAAAACAGTCCGTAGCGCAATTTTGTCACATTTAGTTAGTAGTGCTCACGTAGTGGAGAAAATGAGAGCTTTCAAAGTAATTCATCGTATCCCACCGAATCTTTCCAATAGACTTCGTATTCGTCTACTGCACACAGAGAAATATTAAAACTAGACTATGCATTCAAAAGAAGTTTGTACAGCCATTATCCCTCCCTTGGCCTATTAAGATAGAACCAACTGATGACTTCTCCACCACTCCTTACTTATATTTTCAACCCCTCTCTTATCATTCCTTAATCTTGTCACATCATTAAAAACGTGTTTCATTTACTTCCTTAACAATCTAGCATTACTTAATCGGTTCATTTGTTTTTACTAGCCTTTATCGACCACTTCTACCTGAACATTTGTTTGTTTAATCATGCTGTTTTTCGTTATTCGTGTTATCACAGAGAGCCTCACTTTTTCATCCTCATTATTGATAAAACTACTGTTACTATTATTACTAATATTATTATGACTAATTGCACAATTTATATACACAATCTTATTATCCTATAGACAAAACGTCATGATTGGTTTATATTTGAATTTTATTTGTAAAGTTATGGATATTAGAGTTAAGCCTGATGAGATCTAAATGAAACCAGTATTGTTCACTTAAATGTGTTGTTCTAAATTTTACTACGGGGAAAATTTTTTTATTACAGCTTGATTCCACACCGTATTTTTTGGTATGTGATATTGGTAGCCCAAATTTTGCCGATCATAGATATCAGGTGTGCGCAGGTAGGGGATCGAACCCCGGACCATGTGCATGATCGGCGAGAGTCATAACCGCTGTGCCATCGACGCATATATATATATTTAATAAGCAAATTAATATGGAAAAACAGAAGGTTAGTTAGTGGAAGTGTAACGACGAGGGATAAGGAAATTTGTCTGTACAGGATGGAGGGCCATATCGAAAAAGGCCAACATGTTAAGGTTTTTATGAATATGCAGACTCCATAATAGGCCAGGGCAGTAAAAGTGGTTTGATCTGTTTCTTCTACACACAGAGCACCTATTGTTTAAAGCGAATTGCAATAACTTCTGTCCAAGTGTTGGTCTGTAGGGATCTGAGTTGTTACAGGATTTCATAACCTCTGTCGTTTGGAGTATGCGGTACTTGGATGCTTTGACAATTTATTCAGTGCCCGATGGATGATAGAGGAGGATTTTTCAATGCTGGTTTGTGGCTGGTTTGGAACAGGCCGTCTAGTATAGAACTATTGATGGTTTTTACTACACCTTTACTTAGGCAAACTGGTAGATGTTTCCGAACACGAAAAATCAAGTCCTTAGAGCAAGGGCCAATATAATTTACCCCACGGTTGCCTTTGATTTGGTAGATACAGTTAGAAGTGGTTAGTCTAGGTACTTCATTTTTTAGTTGAGGTATCACAACCCGTCATGTAGAAAATATGACTTGTAGTTTACCAGTATTATTAGTTATTTGATCTGAATGACAAAGGTTTTCACCGACAGATGATTTCGTCATCCTATGTTCACCCTCAACAACCAAACTGAGTAGTGTACAGCCGTGCGTTTCCGGAGAACATGGTTACAAAGTCCAATGTAAGCAGCTCCACAGGAACACGTGAAAGATCAAAGACTTATTGTTGGTTCTTAAGAAGTATTCGGTATATAATACACTTAGTTCAGTATATATCACTTAGCAATTCATAACTCTTATGTGATATTCATTTTCATACGAAACAGCTTTGTAACCGTCGTTTTTTTAATTTAACTGCCGTTTCTTTAAATGCATTTGTCACCAGTGTTGCTGGTCTAGGTATCTTATCTTCTTACCTTATTCCTTTGCGTTCAGAGTGAAACACTGGGTTTCGAGCTTTTGCTCTCAAGTGCAAATAGCAGTAGTGTTTATTTTTCACAAGATGGGGTTGACAGCCTCATGCCCAGCCTTCTATCTTTGCTAAGTCCACCATCGGCTAGTAGACTAGGTGAAGTGTGGGAGTGTGTCTTCCTGGTTATGTGCGTGGCTGACCAGTATTCTCCAGTAGCTTAGCTGTTTAGAGTGCCGTGCTTACAATGTAGAGGTAGAGAGCTCAAACTTCTCTCTACCTAGTCGGCAAATGAGGATTATTATTCGTCTACCTATAGTACACAATAATTATTTATTATTTCATCAACAATATTGGTATAACTCCACTATAGATAATTTTTTATTTTGATAAATCACACAGTGTTACACAGTAATATTAACTGATAACGTTTCGAGCACAACCTATTGCTGATAATCATATCAAGTTACTCACACAATTTTCCACTTCACTTATATATATGACTCATGTATATAAATGAAGTAAAAAGCTATGTGAGTGACTTGATATGATTGTGAGCAGTAATAATTTGTGCTCGAAATGTCATCAGTTAATATTACTGTATAACACTGTGATTTATCAAAATAAAATTTAATCTATATTGGAGTTATACGATGCCACAGTGCCCAAGTTTTGTAGTTATATCAATAATATTGGTATGACTGGTAATATACCAAGTTACATTTACACAAAATTATCAAAATATACAAAGACAATCATCCAGGATGAAATTAAAACTGTTCACGTCGAGAAAGTCGGAGGCAATAATAAATATAAGCCAGCGTTTGGCTGCCACCGGCAAGATTAGTATAACTTGACATATCTGTAAACAGTTGAATCGTAACTTCGACGACTGTATATATTTTTAAAGACGTTTTAGTAATAAATTCACCCAGAATTTATGCTGAAATGATTATTAATCAGAAACTAATCGATTTTAATCTACACCTGTGCCAAGAGTCTATAAAATTCATAAAATAACTTATTGAATGTGTGACAACTGTGTAAACTGTTCATGAAGCCAACATTTATGGCTTATCCTTATGATTTGCCTACAGTTGTCTGTAGTGTTTTCCCATTGGTTAAAAATATAGAAGTTTATTTTTTCCCAACATGTCTTTCTAAACTGAAAGCGAATAAAGACTGGATGTTATTTTTATGTTATGTATTATTTTAAGTGTATTTACAGATTAAAACATTTAAGATCAAAGCTTCAAAAGTTAACTCGTACATGACATGAGTGAATAATTTTCAAACGTCTATGTTGCGGAGGTGTATTCTCGACCGCTTAATTATCACGAATCAAATCAATACAAACAGCTAAACCATGGAATGTGAGAAAGAAAGCCCAGTCAAAAAACCTATCCGTAAAACCAGTATACCGGTGAACCATGATGGGGCAGTTGTGGGATTAGCTCGAAGATCAACATTATTTCCTTTCACAACACCTCTACCAGGGATTTCAACGGCTGCCCTACAGCTGGAACAGCTGATAGGAAGGAATAAGAAATGGACAACAGCTGGATGGAAACTAAGTTCCGAATCTGGTTTGGTATTTCGTACACAGTTAAAAGATAAAGAATACGTGTACTTAAATGCAGCGGAGTTCGGTGAAGTTGAAGTTGTTCGAGACTTACTGGAAGATATGAAGCTTGATGTAAACTGTGTAGACTATATGGGACGTAATGCTTTACTTTTGGCGATGAAAAACGAAAATATTGATTTGGTAGAATTATTAGTCAACCGGTTAGATTTTTACGCCGTTGAAGATGCTTTGTTGAATGCTATCAGTCAGCAGAAAAATCATCTAGTGAAACTAATCGTTGATCATCCACAGTATATCAGAATGGAAAAACAAAGTAAAAGCAAAGTGTCTGGGCCAGCTGGTAGTACTAATAATCGTGGGAAAAGGTCACAGTTCTCTTCGGATATTTCCCCATTAATGCTTGCAGCCCATATTAACAACCATGAAATTATTCAACTGCTGCTAGACAGAGGATTGAAACTTGAAATGCCACATGATCGAGCGTGCTCATGTCTTGAGTGCGAAACTATTCGTGCTGAAGTAAGTACTACTTATCTTCAACTTTAAGTCTTTTCCTAAAATAATAAACTTGAATTTATTGACAAAAATACATGTGGATAATACACTAAAAACTTTATACTTCATTAAGTAGAAATGTCATTCATCCTGCTTATGAATATTTGCCGTTTACGTCACAGCCTTTTTTCATCGACGAAAAGCCAAAAATAAATACATATCTTTTATGGTTACTTCGTAAATAAGAGAAAAAGGTAGAATAACAAACTCAGACTCACAGTGTGACTAATACAGACGGCTGGAAGGAACCCTGTTTATATATACATATATGTACATAAATTACATTTTCATTGCAGGGTAAAGTTACTCCTTTTCAACGACTTCATTTTCAAGCTGTACAGTCGTATTTATATTATGGAAAAAAGCATTAAGTGGCGCTAGAAATTGCTCAGTCAATATACATATTATAAGAATAAAGATAATTAAAAAGATGTACTAAGGGGTTAGAATTGAAGTGGATGTATTACAAAACTTTTAAAGATTATTAAGTTAGTGACCTACTATTTTAAAATCATAACAACAATTAACTAGTTTAATTATCTTTAAACGTTTTGTACATCACCCATTTCAACTCTACCCCCTAAGTAGTACATCATTTTAATAATCTTTATTCTTATCATATATATATATATTGACTGAGCAATTTCTAGTGCCACTTGATGATTTTTTCCATAATATAAATACGACTGTACAGCTTGAAAATGAAGTCGTCGAAAAGAAATATTTCTTCACTGAACAAAAAACTGTGTTATTCCTTATGAATTAATGGGTGTTATTCCGTTAATGGCATACTTTTATACAGCGATAAGGATAAACATTCATTTCCCATAAATGGTAAAGATAAATCTCATAAACCAAAAAAGCGAAAGGAAAGATTCACTACGGTTGTATTCAATGCTGAACTGATTATAACAGCCTATTTAGCTATTCGGATTCGGTAAAACTAGCCAGAAATAAAGCTCATCTTACGTTTTATTAGTTTGTAAGCTATTTAGGTATTCGTCATGTTTAGTATTGATTCAATGACTTTCAGCTTACTCCCAAGTGATTTTGAAGCGCTCAGAACCATGTCTTTTTTCAAAAGAGGGCTATAAAATAAAGATGCATCCTCTTTTCTCCTGAACTTCTCTCGAAGTGTTTCTGCATTTCGTTTTTTTTAATGCCACCTCACGTTCACTTTAAAAGCTTTACTATGAAAAAAATCTAAACAAAAATACATAAACTGTGCATAGCCTGTGATACTGTAAGACTTAGAAGCATTAATGTTCAGGAATCAGTAGTCATCAAATGAACACAGTTTATATAACAGTACGATTGTTTTCACCATTTATCAGCGATAAGGTGCTCACTGTCCTATCTTGAAAGCTTTCATCGATGCTTTAACATTTTATGAGATAAATCCAAATTTTTGCTGAAATAATAGGAGTTTCAGGGCTGTGTTACTGGCTGCCGTTTTGTATTCCACGCTAAAAATTAGATTTCGGCTTGATGAAATCTAGGACAAGTGCTCTGCCCTGTTTTTGGCCCTTAGTGTGGTACTTCCCCGAAACAACAATGAAGTATAGCGCACGTGCCTTCGATTTCACTACTAGTCAGCACCCACAAGGGGAATCGGGGATGAACTCGAAGTTACCCCATATGGCAACGGATACCAATAATAAATTTTCAGCGCATTTAAAAGGAAAAATATAACAGGCTCACGAATTTCAGTAAATTTTGTTTTAATTTTAGTCGTTAAGTAATGATGCTAGCAGCTGCCAGTCTTAAGAATAGTTTTACCAAAACAGTGAAAACCATTGTGGCGGAGGATAAGGAGAACAGCAGCGAAACTTCTATTAAAAAATATTGAAGCATAAGGGTGAATGAAACAAGAAGGTCAGTCTACCTTTTAATAGTGAATAAAATCACCACTTCTGAGAAAGTCTATATAGGAATAGATAGTCTTAAACTTCATTTTTATTTGAATAAAGCAAGAACAACAGTTTGTACAGAATGAAATGGTTCCATCATTTATTTTGTTGGCTTCTCATTAGCTGTTAACAGCCTAATGATAATAATAAGTTTGTGTACAGAAACAATTTTACCATACTTGCAATTTTCACATAATGTTAGCTGACAGAGAGTCCACGTTTAAACAAAAATCACTGGTTACTGAACAAAGAGTACTCTTCTCGATAACTTCATCATCAGGCTCTACAGTTATATATACATTATAGTGAATGAATGAATTAGTGATAGGAACAACATTAATGTTGTTTAAATAACATCGAATCAATAATGTTGATAGATTACAGCTCAATAGCATCAATATAAAATAAACTGAATGTCAGAAAAATTAGGAAGGATAATATTACAAATTCATGAATTTGTAGTCTCTACTGAAGACTAGGGCAGCAGAAGTCATTGGACTTGCTTCTTTTGAACACAAATCACTGGTTTTTTCACGCGAACTGCGATAGCCTCTGCTCTTTGGAGCATTCAGTACTTCGATGATTTTGCAGTTTATTTGGCACCCGGTAGATTATAGAGAAGGATTCCCCTACCCTGGCTTTGTGGTCAGTTTGGACCACAGGTGGTTTTCAATGCACCTTTACTTAGCCATACTGGGAGATCTTCTTGAGCAAGAAAAATCAAGTTCCTAGAGCGACGACCGCTCGCTCCACAAGCGCAGTTGAATTGGTAAATACAATGAATGCATGCGGTGGTAAAGGAGTTCTGCAATAAAGACAAGAGGTGAGTAAGATGATGAGTAACTAATAAATAATCGGTCAACCGAAATCATGTGAAAATTTCAAGTATGTTAAAATTGTATCTATAAATAAACTTAATATTATCTCCAGTCTGTTAGCAGCCGATGAGGGGCCAACCATTTTATTGTTCACCAGCTGTTGTTCTTGCTTTATTGAAACACTAAAAGAGAAATAAATGTGTGAAGTTTCACTTTTACTGACTTTTAAGAGAACAAATTATGAACTATTTATTTGTCTCTCTTTAGAAAAAGTAAAATATGTTCTGGATCAAGCAAGTACATATTATCGAAGAACGTAGTTCTCCGTCAGACAAGTATTTTTTGGCGAGGCGCATCATGACACTGCTGGCATGTTTTTGTATTTTATATTAATACCAGCGTCGGTGGTTCAGTGGTAGAATGCTGGCCAACTACGCACGTGGTCCGGGGTTCGTTCCATAGCCGACCCACTCCTAAGCCCCGCTAAGCTGGTAGTGAGGCCAGTAAAGAGAGAAGGTTGGATGTTGGGCCAGCAAAACGCACCCAGTAAAAGTAAACTACTGCTACTGAGACTTCACAGATCTAACTTGAAGTCCTATGTTCCACCTAATAATAAAATAAATAATATTATTACCAAGGTTAATTATGGTATCTCAACCTCCCAGCTACATTGTGCATATATTACATTCTCCTTATTTGACCATTAAATTGTCTGAAGTACCACTGACCACAATTCAAAATAAAGAATTCTTAGCCTAACAACAAGCGTGAATTAACAGATGGTACACTGTTACTGATGGACAGGCCTTCTTAAATTATGCAAATTTATTCTTTAAATAAAGTGATTGGTACTCAGTTTAGTGGATAATAAAAAATAACTGTTAAAATGTGTTGTGTTTGACTGTCATAAAAACCAAATTTGGACGCACTGAGACTTTGTGTACAACGGTTTCTTGTATTTATGTGATGTATAATTAATAATATTTACCATTTACCAGACAGTCAGTTTTGCATGTTAATGGTCTTGTAACAATATTACGTCTCGTCTGTTTTTGTTTTGTTTTACTATGGGTTAATCAACAAATGGAAAGATTACTGTTAGATGCGCATCACAAACTAGTTAACAGCTACGTTTCTCATATCTCCCTTCTTTATTTAACTTTGACTGTTATTTTTGCAGATGAAATAGGGCACATAGATATATACGCATAAATAACAAATAATAAATTTGCGTTATCTATTCAAATATCTCTCTCTGAATTTTAAGAAAAATGAACACATCTTAAACACATCCTAGAGAAAAACCTTTCAGGTTATAAAATAAGACAGCGAAATAAATCTGGAATGTGCAAAACATTCCATCATTCCCAATGATAGTGAAACATCTAATCGGATCATTTCTTTTTATTTCTTAATCCTCTTTGTTATAAGCCAAAGTTCCATATGAATCAGTAAAGGAAGAAGAACAACAATGAGATCGAATTTCCCATTCACAGTATATTCGGTAATGTCTGGTACATGAGGGTGATGATAAATTGTTCCAGAAAACTGTCTCACTTCTTTGCGTTCCAAGTGGAGAATAGGGCTTCAGGCTTGAGCTCTGAATTCTCAGCAGCAGTGGTATCGTTTCTCTTTTTTACGCAGAGGAGTTGCCAGTATCATGCGCCGTCTGGAAATCGAATCCGGACCACGTGCGTGGTTGGCAAAGATTCTATTACGGGACCACTGATGCATTCAGAAAAGTCTGACATTCGATTTCTTTGCTAAAACAAAACATTAACTGAATTCCCAGAAAACGCATACGGGTATCTAATTATTGTCATCTATCAAGAAGTATAGAGTTCAGTTAACCACTATAAAAAATATATTTATCGAATACAACTTCTATAAGTTTAGATTTATATTGAGTCTAACTCAGTGTCTCCTATGCATTGATAAATATAAAATGTAAAATCTGACACTGATCTATATTGTAAATAAAATTCCAGTGATCGTTTAATGTGGTACATAGGAGTCAGAATAAGAATACCGACAAATCAAAATGAAGTTATTTACTGAAACACTTAATTCATGCTGGAAATAAACTTGATTCTATATATGTTAAAAATTCGCAACAAGGCGAAGTGTCAGGAATACAGTCGTATATCATATGCAATTTTAAAACTGCAACGGTAAGCCAAAACTTTTTGAATAAATTTCTACTTCATTCAACACAGTGTAACAAAACTTCATCCAT